TTCTTCAGACATCCTTTCTTTTGCATCCCCAGTCTGTCTCTTTACACAAAACCACTCCCTTTGAAGTGTAAAGCCTTTCCTATTAAATGAACAAGCAATTCTTAGTCCTATATCCTTCTCTTATTCATTGTTTTGCTTCCCTCCACAGGAAATCTTTTTCACTTCTTCAGTCTCCATCCACTCCAACTGAGTATTCATTCCACCTCTCCCATGCTCTTTTCAAGAAAACTGTTTCCCATCCCGAATATCCAACCACAATTGAATGGGTTGAGAAATAAGGGTACATTCACAAAATGGAATACCATGCAGCATGCAGGAGCAATGATTTTTGTAAATCACTACCTGACTAGGGAGGGACTGGAGAGCATTATGCTGAGTGAACTCACTCAGTCCCATAACATCATTGTAGAATGAGTATGATGATCCAAGGCAGGGAGGAGCAGAGGGGTGAGGATGGGCTGGGGGTGGAGGGTGGTTAATCATAGGCTCACACAATCTGATGAGTGGAGTGGGGGTGAAGGAAATGGGAAAGATCCGGTGTGAAAAACAATGTATAAGAACTTTTAAAATAAACCCGTATTTAAAATGAAAAAAAAAAAACCACAACACAAAACTGTTTCTGTCCCCTCCTCCTCTTACTGGGACTCTCAACAGCATGTAACACATTTGACTATGCCCTACTTTTATAAAACATTCCTCCCTGACAGCTGTGATCACTCTCTGATCACTCTTCATTCCACTCTTCCATTCCCACTTAGCCTCATTTGCTTGCATCTCCTCCTCAACCCAACCTTTGACTATCAGAAGGGCTTAGAAGCAACTCTGCTTTCTCCTTCCCTGTCTCATCTATTTCCCTGGGTGAGTTCTTAAGTCCTGAGACTTTCATTGCCTGGCAATGGCTCTAATAGTTGTAGCTCCTCCTTGACCTCTTCCCTGAAATTCCAGGTTTGTAAAACTAATTAATAACTGGGATCCAGAACACTGAATTATGCTTCCACGAAACCTATACCTAGGCCAAGAAGTCATTGTCTAAATAGAACAAGACAACTCTGTATGGTTTAAAATTAAGAAAGGTGTATGTAAAGACTGTAGCCTCTTTTCATACCTATTTAATCTGTATGCTGAGCAAATCATTCAGGAAGCTGGACTCTACAAAAAAGAATGTGGCATTAGGATCAGAGAAAGAGTCATTAACAATCTGCCTTATGCAGATGACACAACTTTGCTTTCTGAAAGTGAAGAGGACTTGAAGCATTTGCTGCAGATCAAAGATGGAAGCCTTCAAAGAGATTATATCTCGACATCAAGAAAACAAAAATTCTCATCACTGGACTGAGAGGCAACATGTAGATGGATAAAAGATTGAAATTTTCAATGATTTTATGCTACTTGGATCCACACCAGCAGTCAGGAGATCACAAGACATATTTCATTGGGAAAGTCTGTTTTCATGTATGTTTCTAAATTTCTAAGGAACAATTATATCAAAAAACTATAAAGTTTGCCTAATTCAGGTTATGGTCTTTTCAATCACTTGCTATGCATCTGAGAGCTAGACAATGAATAAGGATTACAGAAGAATTGATCCCTTTGAATTGTGGCATTGGAGAAGAGTACTTGACAGCCCACGGACTACAGAAAGAACAGATATGTCTTCAAGAAATTGCAGCCAGAATGATCCTTGGAGGTAAGGCTTTCAAAGCTTCATCTAATACGCTTTGGCCATGTTTCTAGGAGAGGCTATTCCTTGGAAAGGGAAATCATGCTTGGAAAGGTGGAAGGTCAGTGAAGGAGAGGAAAACTCTCAACCGGCTAGATCGATATGACTGCAGCAATGGAATCAAGTATGTCAGAAAGGATGAAGATGGCACAGGCTAGAACAGGATTCAGATCTATTGTCCGTAGGGTTGCTATGAGTCATACTAGACTTGACAGCACCTAACCACAACATCACTGATTAAGAGGTCTTTAATAAGTATTCCTCTCAAAATAGAACTCTTTAATCATACTACACTCACATACATACATACACCTTCCTCTCTGGACTTTCCCATCCTATTAAATAGTACTTCATCTACCCAAAAGCTCAAGCCAAAATACTTTTTTTACTCCACTTTTCACATCAAGTTCAAAATGATCATGATCACATTCTCTTTTCTCTGTATCTCCATCACTCACATGTCACTGATCCATCACTCATCTTGGCTACTACAACTATCTCTGCTTTTGGCCTCTCTGTTTAATGACCCTCATATTGAAATGATTGCTTTGCAATGCATGCTCAATATTTCCACTTGTGGTTTTATATTTTTTCCAATGCCTTTTGACAACCAACTCTAAAATTCATTCTATGTCCTCAAGGTCCTACAATAGTTCTCTCATATACCTTTCCAAACTCATCTCTACACAATTCCTCTTTTTCGCTATATTCCAGCTGTCTTTACAATCCCAAACACTTTTCCAGAGCAGGGTTTTTGCCTTTTGTCTCTTTGCTGAAGTACTCCTGTTTCAATGGTTGACCCATTGTCCTCCCATGCTTAGTTCAAACATCACTCTTTAGTGATGCCTTCCTTAACCACCTTGTCAAAAATGAAGTCTTCCAGGAGGCAATTTTAGCAAACACTCACTGAGTGTTTTCCAGGAATAACTTTTGGTGCTTTACCTTAATTAACACTTTTAATTCCTCACAACACTGGGATAGACACTATTACTGCTATTATCATACCCATCTTACAAGAGAAAACTGAGGCGAGAAAAGAATGGCAAATGTGCCAAGTCCAGTAGCTATAGGAAGTGGTCTCTTAGGATTTAATCCTGGGTAGGGATATTGTGAGGTAACTCGTGGTTGCTGTGATGCTGAAAACCCTGACAGTGATGTGCCAATCATGGTAATGGGCACCCATGGTGGACAGTGTTGGCTGGAGCTTCCCGACTAAATCAAGCCTGGAAGCAGGAGCAGCATCCACTTCCAAAACGGCTTGCCTCCGGAAACTCTATGTACGAACAGTGCTCAGGCTGTTCGTTCACAGGGTCACTATGAGTCATCTACGACTCGACGGCATTAAACAACAACAACAACAACAGGGATATTGTAGCTAATGTTAGATGGATCTCAGCTGAAAGCAGGGAATACCAGAGGAATGCATATCTGTATTTCATTGACTATGCAAAGGCATTTGACTGTGTGGCTCATAACAAACTGTGGCTGACTCTGAGAAGAATGGGAATCCCAGAACACTTGATCATGCTAATGCAAAACCTATACTTGGACCAAGAGGCAGTTATCAGAACAGATCAAGGAAACACTGCATGATTCAAAATTGGGAAGGGCGTACATACCTTTTCAACCTGTATGCAGAACAGATTATCCTGGAGGCTGGGCCCTATGAGGAGAAATGTGGGGTCAAGATTGATGGAAGATCTATCAACAATCTGTGTTATGCAGATGACACAACCCTGCTTGCTGAAATTGAGGAGGACCTGAAGCACTTGCTACAGAGAGTCAAGGACTGCAGCCTTCAATATGGATTGAGGCTCAATGTCAAGAAGACAGAGATTTTCACCACTGGACCAATTGGCAGCATCAGGATGGATGGTGAAGAGACTGAGATTGTTCACAGCTTTAGTCTGCTTGGCTCCACAGTCAACACTCTTGGTAGCCAGGAAACTAAAAGATGTTTTGCAATGGGAAAGTCTGCTGTTAGGGACCTCTCCAAAGTACTGAAGAGCAATGGTGTGTCTCTGGAGACTAAGGTGTGTCTGATACAGGCCGTGGTCTTTGCGATCACTTGTCATACATCAGAGAGTTGGACAATGACCAAGGAGGATAGAAGGAGGATTGATGCCTTTGAGTTTTGGTGCTGGAGAAGAGTATTGAGGGTACCATGGACTGCTAGGAAAACAAACAGATTCATCCTGGAGAGGGTTAAATCAGGTGGCTCCTTAGAGGCAAGGATTCTGAGGCTCCGTCTATACTTTGGACATGTTATAAGGAGAGACCAGTCCTTGGAGAGGGACATCATGCTAGGGAGCGTGGAGGGACAGTGCAGGAGGGGAAGACTCTCTGTAAGGTGGATTGATTCAGTGACTGGGGTAATCAGGATGGGTGTGTCAGAGACAGTGCAGTTGGCACAGACAGAGCAGAGTTTAGGGCTATTGTACATGGGGTCGTTACGAGTGGCAAGTGACTCAACAGCATATAACAACAACTACTCTGTCTCCAAGGAGCTCTGGTGGTTTAGTGGTAAGGAAGTGCACTCTCAATTCACAGGCTGTACACACAGTTCGAATCCACCAGCTGCTCCATGGGAGAAAGATGGTAATCTCCTTCCATATGATTTACTGCCTCTGAAAACTCACTGGAAGGTGAGCCATGGGTTGGTGCTGATTTGGCGGTACACCCAACAACTCTGTCAGCAGCCTGCTCTATGAACAACACCCTGCCTCATCTTACCTGTGTGTTACCTTTTTGCAATCTATAATTATCTTGTTTAATTAAACAGCATCCTTTTTCCCATCATTGTTGTTGTTGTTGTTATGTGCTGTCGAGTCACTTGCGACACATAGCGACCCTATGTACAACAGCCCTAAACCCTGCTCTATCCTGTGCCAATCTCATTGCCTCTGACACATCCATCCTGATTACCCCAGTCACTGAATCAATCCACCTCATAGAGGCTCTTCCTCTCCTGCGCCGTCCCTCCACTCTGCCCAGCATGATGTCCTTCTCCAAAGACACATGGGCAAAAACTCTCGCTCTCTTATCGCTGCAGTCTTAGTGACTACCACATACCAGGTGCTCAACAAGTATTTGTTGAATGAAGCAATCATAGACTATAATCATAGACTAGGACCACTAGTGAAAATCTTCATCTGCATGAGAACTGTTTTTTGACATGAACAGTTGTTCCACGCTGAGCACAGCTAATACCAGCAAATGAAGGGGATTTTTTTCTATTTTTGTTTTTACAATTACACAAAGTTATCTATTTTTTTTCCAGAACAGTTTTATTATGTTGGACCTGTCAATAATCCTGGTTTTGAAGTCCCGAAGGTAAAATGTTGTTCTGTTCTGTTTTGTTTGTTTATTATTCTATTGTTTTATTTGTTATTATACTTCTTGATGAAGAGAAAGAGAAGGAAGATAAGGTTGAAGAGCCACAGGGATGAAAAGGAGGAGCAAGGAATGACACTGTTCAGAACATTTTTATCAGCCTTCTCTAGGAAAGCTCTTGCATAAATGACACTATTACCTCTAGCTATGTACCTAGCACATGGCTCACTCACTGCTGACAAGTTGACTCCAATTCAGAGTGAACCTCCATCAGGTCTCTAAGAGTGTAAATCTTTATGGGAGAATACTGACCATTTTCCCCAGGGAGCCGCCTGTGGATTTTGACCAAGAGAGACAGTCATTTTGACTAGCAGCCCAACTGTGCCACCAGCAAACCTTACCCAGCACATAGTGGGCACTCTACAATGTTTGGCACTCTGGCTTGGCATTTGGGTACTTAATATTTTGTATCCCACTGGATAGTTAATGGTTCTTTAGGGTTTTCTGAGTAAAAAAAATCCACATTCAGGGGAAGACAAGGCTTCTTGACCTTGAACTTCATGCAGCTGGAGCTTCTGGGGAAGCACATCAGGGAACCCCACGGGACCTAGATGATGGTTCATAAAGGCTGGCTGTGCAGAGGACGGACAATGCGAAGACCACAGTGGTGTGAATGCCCCTGCACCATCCACAACACCCACTGAGTCAGTCCACGTCCTGACTGCTTACTGGCAAGTCTCACTACCCAGGGTAGAAACTTTCACTAATTCCTTTTGACTCAACAAAATGTGACATAATTAAATGGCTGAATTCAAGCAGCAGTGACACACACATATGAAAATTTCCTTATGAAGTTCCTGAGGGACTTCTGGGGATCAACATTGAAAGAATCACAAAAATGTAATGATTCATTTTGTTTTCAGTATTATGCTTTCAGATCTCTAAAACCAGGGTCTAATGATGGGAGGGGAGGCTCTGGTGGCCTAGTTTGAATCCACTAGCTGCTCCATGGGAGAATGGAATCCACTAGTTGCTCCATGGGAGAGATAGGCGATCTCCTCTCATGTGATTTACAGCCTTTGAAAATCTGCTGGAGGGTGAGCTATGAATCACTTCTGACTTGATAACAATGAGTTGAGTTTCTGAACTCTGGAAAGGATCTGCTTCACAAAGAATCTCTTTAATAGCCTTTCTTTGTTCTTCTGTTTTCTATCTCCCTCAGCTGCTGGATTGCAAGGCTTAGAGTGCCCCGGTACTGAAATTCTTACTAGGCTAGGTTTCCCAGGCTTCCTGTAGGATTTTTCTCCAGAGCTTCCCTCTCTGACCTCTCAGCACATGAGAGTATTTTTAAGAAGGGAAAATCCAGAATCTTTCACTTCTAAATGTATAGGATATGATGGGAAATGGAAAAACTCCAGTTGATTGGTGTATGCTCCGTGATCAAAAAATAAACTTGGATTGTTTTAACTCACACACAAACAAAAAGTATAGACTAGGGGCTTAACTCTGGCCCAATAGTTTGCATGTCTTTGCAATTTGAATTCTTCCTCTTTCCCCGTTTCTCTTCTGAGTGGCCCCTCCCCAGCCGTGCCCACCCTATTGTTGTTTGTTCCTATTCAGTCCCACTCCAGGTGATTGCAAAGCAGGACAGAAAGTTACTTGGAGCTGCATGATTGTCAGTCATTGTTTTCTTGGGTCCATTGTGTGGTGGCTTCCAACACCAGAGGCTCATCTCCCAGGAGTATATGTGGAAATATTTTCTTGGGATACAGAATGTTTCCTCCAGCTAATTTTCAGAATCAGATCACCAGGTCTTTCTTCCTAGTCTATCTTCATCTACATGTTCTGCCAAACCTGGTTTTGGGAATAGCAGCGGTGTAGCTTTCAGTATCCCAGACACAAGTCACCACAGCAGGACAACTGAGAGGACTGGTGACCCTTCTACATTGTAGAGTGACTGAAAATTTGCAACCAATTGCTCTTCATGTCTGCATTATGGCTTTATAAAAGAATCACTGTTAGCAATTGCTGTGAAATAGAGGCAGACACAACTTCTTAAAGTCATAGCACCTTTTTGAAGGTGTATTTACTAGGAAGGTTAAAGAAGCTTTATTGCAACCACCTGGGACACTTGTTGGTAATACAGTAGCAGTAGCTTTTAAGCAGTGATGCTGTTTAAACCCACATTGTCCAGAGTGAGGGTGGTGAGAGTGAAACATGTGAGTGGGGGGTCTACATAGCTGAGGGTCTACAGAGATCTATTATTGATTCTCCTAACCCATCCCCTCCTGAGGCTTTGCCAATAAAGCAGAACCCTGCCAAGTGCTGACCTGCCCCCTAGCCTGCTGACTCCTGGACAGACCTGAGAGGAATACAGCCCAGCTGGGACACCACATGTCCAGCACAGCAGCTGCGGCTTTCTCCCAGCATAGGGGCCCATGTGGGCTGCACCCAGCCACAGCAGCCCACCCAACCCCCAGCCGTCAGCCAGCCAGCACACAGAGACTTGGCTTTCTAAATATGGGTCAGAGACCCTGCCAAGTCTTTGAAGTTAACAGGCCTTTCTCATATCCCCCTCCTAACCAAATGCCCAGAGCTGGGCTCTGGGATAATGGTGTCCCCTGTTCAGCCTCAAATCTTTCCACCCTGCAGTCAGCCTTTAGCCTCTAGGCATCTCTTTTTCTTTAACAAGATCCATTGCCCTGATTCAGAATGAAAATACAGCTTAGAGGGCTGCATTTTTCTGTGACTTTCTGAATTAGAATTCGGTGATCCTCTGGGCTCCTAGCCTGAGTCATTGCAATTATCAAGAATACAACTACCAACTGCTGACTCACCAGGCCTGTGCCCTGCACACCCACAGAAAGAGCGTTGTTCTGCTCCTCACCCTGCCCTCCTGTCTTGCCCCAGCTGTGCACAGACTCACCCAGTCCCTTGCTCTTGAACCAGAGAACCTTCTAAGTGGCAATCAAGGTCCCTCACCACCACCACCGCCACCCTCCCTCCTCCAAATGCTACACCTTTTCCCAACCTCATACAATAAGGAAAAATTTGTTTGATTTTTAGTAAACATGTAGATTTGTGGACAGTCCAGTGTAACTCAATGCATTAACTGAAAGATCGGTGATTTGAATCTACCTACATTTTCCAGGTGACAAATGAGACAATCACCTTCCATAAAGATTGTGATGTGCCATTGAGTCAGAGGAGACTCATAGCTGTCCCTCCAGCGGGTTTGCAGAGGCAGTAAATCGCAGGGGAGGAGATTGTCCATCTTTCCCCCATTGAGCAGCTGGTGGATTCCAACCACGTGCCATGGGGAGTGCGGTACAACTTCTGACCACTAGGCCTCCATCTCTCTCCATAAGAATTGCAGTCGTGGAAATCCTAAGAGGCAGTTCTACTCTGTCCTATTGGTCAGAACCGACTCAAGATCCACTGGTGATTTGCGTGTTTTCAGTGCTGGGGTATATGCTTAAATGTTCACGAAGAGTTTAAAGAAAGTAAATTTTTTAAGTTGTTATTGTTACTAAACACAAAATCCAACACAACTTTGAGTTGGCTTCTACCCATAATTAATTCTCTTTCACACTGGTTGATTTAAATTTTTAACACTTCTGGTGAAATGCTAGCTGCTCGATGGCTGCAGGAAGACTCGAGGGAGCCTGGATTCGCAGAATCCTCACATTGAACGATGCCTTCAGGTTGTTCTCATCAATCCTCACACCCACTGGGAACTGAGTACCCACACGCAAAGCTCTGCTAATTACTAGGAAGTTGTTCCTTCCCAGCAAAGCTCTCCCATGGGCAGCTTTTTTGCAGTGGTTTTATTTATTCTTGCCCTCTGGCTTCAAGCAGAATAAACTCCTTTCCTCTTCTGGGTGACAGGTGGTTCCAAGCTGTGCCTGGAGTTCCCTAGGCTCCCCACTGCCCTCTCCTCACCACCACCCACAGTCTCTTTTGCCTCTGGGCATCAAGCAGGGTGGGTGACCACAGGCTTCTGCAGTGAGCACCACAGACTGAACTCCGAGCTTGGAGCCTGTCCTCGGTCTCTTCTACACTGTGGTTGTAATGCTACTGCTTCTCTGGGATTCAGTCCCAGCTAAAGGCTGCTGCACAGTCTCTATGAAGAGGATGTTACCACAAAGGACCCCTGTAAGGATGCACTGTCTTTTCTATACAACTTTTTGGTTTCATGCCCCTGAAATTTGCTCCTCTGCTTAACTCCTTCATCTCAGCAAGTTATTGATTCTTTATTACAGTTACTCAGGCCACAGTCCTTGGAGTCACCTCTCCACGCCAATCTCCTCATCAGTGATACTGTCTCTTCTTTCAGAACCTGTCTAGAATGTGGCCACTTGTCACCATCTCTTCCTGCCTCAGGTGGAGACACAGCCTCCTCTCAGGTCTTGCTGCCCGCACCCTTTCCTCAGGCTCCGCATTAGCATGGGTGTCACACAGCCAGAGGGCCTCATTAACACACCAGGTCACATGTCCATCAAACTCTCTGCATCTTCCCTCATTTCTAATGTGGATCTCCTTGCTGCTCCTCAAAGGTGGGGAGTTGCACTGCTGGGACACTGTCTTCCTCTCATACTTTTTTGAAGTCTTTGCCCAGAAGCCACCTCCTCAGCAGGCCCTGCCTTGACCTCCCTACTTAAAACTGCAAACCAATGTTAGCCTTACCCCCGCCCCCGCCCCCATCACTACACCCAGCACTCCTTGTCTGCTCCTCTCAGTTTGAAATTTCCCATGACAGTACATTTCAACTCTGTACATTTCAGACCAGAACTGAGCTCTATGGGGTTATCAAAGCTGTTCAGAAGCCAATTGTTGGGCATGTTTTTGAACCACTTCTGGGTGGGTTTGAACCTCTAACCTTCCAGTTAAGCGTTTAACCATTTGTGCCCCTGGATACTTCAGCATCTACATACCACGCTAGTGGACCATAGCATGTGCTTGTCTGCCTTTCCATCTAGACTTCATGCTCCCAGGGCAGGAGTTGGGGTGTCTGCTTTGCTCTCTTTTATCCTCAGAGTCCACAATAGTCCCTGACACTCAGGAAACCACCAGCTACCATTGACTCCAACTCTTGGTGACCTCATATGGGTCAAAAGAAAGTTGTGCTCCAAAGTATTTTCAATAGGTGGTTATTTTCTGGAAATAGATTGCCAGGCCTTTCTTCATGCAATCTTTTGCTTGACAAACAAATGTGTTAACCATTTTCATCACCCAGAGACTTCTGTCCACAAACAAAACGATCAAGCTGGTTATCATAGAGTCAATTCTGACTCAAGGCAACTGTGCATTTCAGACCAGAACTGTGCTCTCTGGGGTTATCAAGGCTGTTCAGAAGCCAATTGCTGGGCCTGGTTTTTGAACTACCTCTGAATGGGTTTGAACCTCTAACCTTCCAGTTAAGCATTTAATCATTTGTACCCCTGGGTACTTCTGCATATAGACGATGCTCCATAAATGTTTGCTCAGTGGTTGGTTGTCTAGCCATCACATATGTAACGCTCCCCTTCTGTCTCTGGCAGGGAGAATACCAGGTCTTGCTGGAACTGTACAATGGAAAGAAATCCACCGTGGCCTGTGCCAATGCCACTGTCATTTGCTCCTAATGGTGCCTCAGAGTGTGATGAAACTCTGTCTATTGGAAGCTCCAAGTTCCTCAAACTAAGTCTACAGTTCAAGGAGAATTAATGGCAGATAAAAACATACAAAGAATGTTCACCAAAGAGCTTGGGTTCATCTGAGCCCAACACCCAGCCTCTTCAGATCTCACAGGTGTAATTAAACTCCTGAAATTATTGGTACCTAATGAGCTTCATGGCAAAGGGTCAATTGTCTTCCTCTAATTGGTCACCTCACAGCACCTCAGTTCCTCAGCAGCCCTGCTCCACAGTCACTGGGAATAAAAAAAGCTGATCCAACACTGCTGACTGTGGTTTGTTCAAAGTAATCTCAGCATAGTGCTTTGTTTCAAATGTCATTTCTTCCAGGCACAGGGGCCTGGTGCTGGCACTGTGAAAGCAGTCCTGAGACGTCCCAGAGGATAATGGCCAAGCATAAATGGTTTGCATTTCTTCCCTAGGTAGGCATCCAAGCTCTGGGCCACTAAGTGATGAAACCTCACAAAGAGTGTATTAGAGTTGTGTGTGCATGTTTCTTTGTGTAAACTTATTTCAAGGAACTGAATCATGCAATTACAGGGACTAATAACTCTAAGATCCTTACAGCCTATAGAGTGTTTGAATCTCCAATAAGATTTCTATATCACATTCTCGAGACAGAATTCCTTCTTGGAAATCTAAATTTTTGCTCTTAAGGCCTTCAACTGATTGGATCAGGGGGACACACATCATTAAGGAAAATCTCCTTTTCTTAGTGACAACTGATTGCAAATACCTTATCAACAATATACCTATACCATAGCATCTAGACTAGCTTTTGAATGAGCAGCTGGGTGCCGTAGCCAAGTCAAACCAACTTACAAACTCTGCTGTCACGAAGAGCAGCATCATAATTTCACATGAAACCTTGAGACTAAACATACACTTCACCTTCATCAAGAACGTGACTGACCTCAGCACAGGAGATTTTCATGGAAGTGTTTCTGCACCACCAGGGACTTGCTCAGCTTCTAGTGTGCAAGCCAGAATCCCGTCCTACTGGAGCTTTCAGTCCCCTGAAATCCTCAGAAGCTACACCTCCACCAGTGCCTTTCAGCCACACAGACCCACTGTCTTCAGAGTCCTCTGTCAGGGGCAGGTGTCCTGCCCTGCCACCCACCCATTCCTCCTTCCCTCTTCTCTCTCTCTTGCTGAGCAGAACCTCATGGGGCATTGCAGCCCCTCTGCCCTTCTGGAACCACTTGGAATTCCTTGGCCAGCAGTTGCATCACTCCAGTCTCTGCCTCCACTGTCACACAGCTTCTCCCAGTGTGTCTTTCTCCATGTTTGAATCCTCTTCCTATAGAGATAGCAATCATACTGAACGAGGATCCACCCTGTTCCAGAAGACCTCCTCTTAACTTGATTACATTTAGACCACTTTAGGCCACTTTCACAGGCCTATGGCACAGTGCTTAAGCACTCTGATGCTAACCAGAAGATTGGTGGTTTGTACCCATCAGCAAATCTGCAGGAGAAAAAGGTAGAGCAATCTATACAGCCCTGGAACCCTGTGCAGTAGTTCTAGTCTGTCCTTGACTAGAACTACCAGTCAAATAGAACTTGACTAAAATGGACTTGTTCAGTCTTTGTTTACCCAACGCAGTACATTGTACTCACTTACTGCTGTCAAGTCAGAGCCAACTCATAGCTAACCTTCCAGTGGGTTCCTGAGGCTGTAAATCACACAGGAGGGGATTGCCTAAACCACCAGATAGGGCGTGCCCTTTGTGTTAGCAACACAACTCCACATGGCCTGGGCCACCAGAGTTTCTGTGTATACACTGTACAAGAGACTTCATTTCTCTAAGGCTCGGTGTCCTCATCTGTAAACGCCAGCTACAAAATACTAACTTTATAGAACTAGCTTGAGAATCAAATGAGAAAACGAAGGTGTTTAGACCAGTGTCTGGTGTGTAACACAGTAAACCAAAACCAAAACCAAATCCCCGGCTATCAAATCAACTCTGACTGACCCATTGTGAGCCTGGAGGATGAGCAAACTTCCCTACAGAGTTTCCAGAACTGGAAATCTTGAACAAAAGCAGACAGCCTCATATTTCTCAGGCACCATAGCTGGCGCTTTTGAACTGCCAACCTTCTGGTTAACAGACCAACACTTAACCCACTTAGTCATCAAGGCTCCTAATTAATAAATGTGAGGGATTACTATGCCAGGGTGGTTGTTCTGCAGATAAAGCTCAGTTTCCTAGTCTACTGCCCTGGTCCCCGCTGCCTCACTGGAGTCAAAGAATGTAGGTCTCCCACAAAGGAAACAATCCTAGATGCTTCCCCTCCAGCCCACACTGGGCTTTAAGTTGCTGAATAGTTCCTTGAGACCGTGGTTTCTAGTTATTTTACTAGGCTTTTTATTAGACCTGGGATGGGGGATGTTCAATGATTGACATGTTCAGGTCACAAACGCTAAGAAGAATTCAAGAGAAATGTTCAGGTACCAGTTTCTCCAAAACAGAAATGTTATAACCAGGTCAAGGAGGCCTAAGAAAGAAAATGTTTGTTTGGGTGTTTTGATGGGGTTTTTTTTTGGTTGGACTTTAAAAAAAAAAAAAAATTAAACTTGTTTCCTGAAGAAGAGGGGTGGAGGGAGAAAAGATACACACTCAAGTTGTGAAGAGCAAAATGTAATATCTGCAAAGTTAACAGTTACGTCTGCCTTCAGAAAAAGTAACCCGAAATAGCTCCTGAGAGAACTGACAGGGCCGCATCCTGCCCTCGGCTGGCTCATCACAGGGGCAGCTGGCACCACAGCCAGTCAGTTCCAGGTTTGAATCTGGCTGCCTTTGTGTGACTGAGCATTTCTCTGTCTAGTTTCCAAGTATCTGGTAATCAGAGGCCCAAAGATATTGGAGGAGGTCTATCTGATCTTTACTTTGGGGATAACTTCTAGTCCTGTTCTTAATCATTCGTTTGAAATCTAGGACTAAACCCTTTGGCTGCCTTCAAACATGCCACCCTGAACTTTCCTCCTGCCCTCTAAGCCATATTCCTCTTAAAAATCCAGCCTCTCTCCTATGATATCTTGATCTCCTCACCATTTCCTGAGGAAAAGAGTATGTGCATCAGTGGTACTGTAGCTGAAAACAGTGATTGCTTCTTCCAGCTTATACTTGTCTGTGCTTCCTGTAGCCCAGGCAAGGAAGGGAAGAAACAGAACGTCGTTGTCATGTGAGCCATCATCATTGTGTGGTGCCTTGTCTTCAACTTAGAAGTGGTGGGAAGACAGTCTGGAAGGGACCAAAGAGTACCACTAAAATGCTGAGAGAGGTAACCAGGTTAGCTCGTGAGGATAGACTAGACTTACCAGCAATAATAACTTGCCAAATGCTAAGGTTCATTTGAGCACTTTCAATGTGCCAGGCATTGAGGTAAGTGTGGCTTTTCCAGCATCTCAGTACTTATTTACAATGTGGGTATGTTAGTGAGCTCTGGTGGCATAGACTATAGGAGTTTGTAGTTGCTCGGGTAACCCAAAGGCCATGCCTCTAAATGGTTCAGTCTACCAGCTGCTCCTTGGGAGAAAAATGTATAATCTCCTCCTAACTGATTTACAGCCTTGGAAACTCAATTGAGGGTAGAGGGATTTCTGTGATACATATCAGAGGCCCCTCTCCAGGCTTGATGTTAAAGGAAGCTGATGAGTATGTTCCACTCATGATGACCACCTGGGGTCTACTGAATGAAAGGGGCAGGGAAGCATCAGAATATCCTTTCCAGGACTTAAAGTTAAAGGAAGCTGGCAAGTATACTCAACTTGTGGTGGCCATCTGGGTCCTTGTGATGAGTGGAAATGGGAGATATGCAGGAATGAGGAGTCAGGCTGTGTTTGGACGTGTTTCTGCAGCACTGTCCACCTAGCATGATGCATGGATAAGCGGAAAAGGATTGCTGGTTTGTGGAAGAGGAAGTCCTGAGGATCACTGTTGTGTTGACTTGGGCCATGTGGGGCTAAAGTTAAGTGAATGAACCAAACAGTCTCAGACACATGAAGAAGTGTGGACTCCTGAGTCTGAAGCTGATGCTTATTTGGACTTAGCAACAGATGGCTGGGGATGTGTTGACCAGAATCCAACCAGATGAAGAGAAGACACTTCATGCTGTGAATTAGTGTTAATTACTATTACTTTATAGTTTTGCTCTGGACTGGACCTTTGTTTATAGATGCAGATGTTCAAAATTTCATAGGACCAGGCAAGTTAGAAATTCACTATCTAAAATAGGGGAATTAAGACATAACGAGTGAAGCAGCTGGCTTACATACTTCCATGAATATAGGTGTTGGTGAAGGGAAGGTTGCCCCAAATCAATAGCAACCAGTTACGTTTTTAGTTGCAGATGTGAAAACTATACTAATTCTAGCAGTAAGCAGGCTAAAACTAGAGATAAAATGCAGAGGGTTTGAGGGTAGTGGCTTCTCAGTGGTGAAATTTTCACCTTTCAAACAGGATACAACTACCTCATGAGACAATGCTCCTCATCCATCTATCACGAAGCTTCTGTGTTGCTATGATGCTTGAATAAGTTTCAACAAAGTTTCCAGGTTAAGACAGACTAGGAAGAAAGTTCCTGCCATTGCCATTATCTTGCCATTGAGTTAGTTTTGACTCATAGCAACCCACATGACAGAGTAGAACTGCCCGTGTTGTTCTCTGTGCTGTTATCTTCACAGAAGCTGATCATGACATTTTTCTCCCACAAGACAACTTGGGGGGTGTCTGCCAACCCAGGATGCAGCTCTGTGTGTTCTCTTAGAAGCTGTTTCAGGTTATTTTTTCTGAAAGTAGGTGTTATTGTTGATTTAGTAGATGTGCATCAAATTCTTTAGTTTATGTATGTGTTGGTTTGGCCTTTTATTTTATTTATATTCAGGGGTGTTTTGTGGGCAACCTTCCAACATGAAATACTAGTTTTGTTCTAAAGAAACAAATGCC